AGATAATTCCAAATAGATTTTTTTTTATTAGATTTAGTAACTATAAAGATTTATAATACACTAAAGATTAAATTAAAGATATAAACAATGGCCAGTGCTTGAATATATCAATTAATCGATTAATAAACTAATTAGCTTAATTAACCTATTGTAATATAATTGGTTCATTTTTTCTAAAAAAATAATTATTTCTAGAGATAGAAAGAAATAAAAAATTAAATTACTTTTGAAGTTCTAATATAAATATTGTTAAAATCAGTCACAAAGAATTGCAGTAATCAATAAAAAGAACTTTATGTATTTTATTGCACGTGATCTACTTCATTCATTTCTTTCTCATTACTTTTTCTCCTCAATGAATGTCTGCGACGTAGCACTTTTTATATCAAAGTGTGTAAATATGCGTAAATAAGAATTGCTTTCAATACTTTTTTAATGATTGTAAATAATTAATGGTGTGAAAAATTATGAATTATCGTAATTTTTATGTCTATATTTGAAGAATATTATAAACTTATTTTCGCACACATAATTAGAATTAAATCGTCTTGAGCAAATGTATTTAATTATATGAATCAATCAATTTGTCTTTGTATAAACTTAGGTTTTAAGAATAAATCAACAAGACATTTTATTAAAGTCAAATTTAAGAAATAATATTTACTTTGAGAAAAATAAAAACAAAAAAATTGCTTTGCGAGATTGCCATTTATTTTAAAAAATTATATAAAATTATGTAAAATTATTCTGAGATATCTATAACAAGAATATAACGCTATAGATAAGCCATATTACTTAAATCAAGTTTTAAAATATTTTAAATTTATTTCATGTGTGAAAATTCGCATATATTAAGAATTTATTATGTAATATTTGTTATAATATTTATTATATAGTATTTATATAAGATTTATTATTTAGTATAGTGTACATGCATATTTGTTTAAATTTAATTGAAAGAACACCATTAATTTATACAATATTATTCCATTATTGCAAGATGGTGCGACAATTTATGAAATTGAAAAAGTTGTTTCCAATTTCATAAAAACATCTTGAACATATATTTAATTATGTATATAAAATTTTCTTGTGTTATGCTAAAATTGTAGATATAGCAATTAAACGTAAATTAAATGTAAAATGTAATTTGCTTTTTCGAATATAATTCGGCGAACGCATAACTGTGCTCTATATAAAATCTTATACAAAATAAAACATAGTTGCATATTACTACATATTTAATCATAATTTTATTTAAATTAAGAAAGGCTTTAATTGGATCACTTGGCATATCGTTAACTTATCAATTATCTTAATTGAATTAAATGACATGTTAAAAGTACAAAATTATAAAAATTATATGACATAAAATGATTGTAATTGATTGCAATATTTGTAATATATACTTGAGTTTTATATGATTTTTATTATTTTTCGTGATTTCTCTTTTTTCATCATAATGCTTAATATATTATCTCGCTTTAAATGTAAAGAAAATGCAAAATATTACGTCACACAGTGATTCAAACTTTGGAAATCACTTCGGAAAAATAAGACATTCCTTTCCTTGAAACTAATTACGCACGTGAAAGACAATCGTGACAACTTTCGTATCCACGTGCGCAAGCTAACAAGGCGTTACGCGTTCGCCGATTAGCGGTGATTCGAAGACACCAACATAAGATGAATTCGCTTTTGACGTGCTTGCCGCATAATGATTTAGAGACGTAGACGTATCGTAACGACGGGCGCCACAGACGGGCGGAGCTCCGTCACGTTTCTTGCCTTTCCAGAGGGGCAAGAAAAGGGTGAGAGAAAGACAGAGAAAAGGGAAAGGGAGAGAAATTCTCTTGGGGCAGAGCGAAGGGTTCAAGAGACACACGACGTGGCAAGGACCGATCGTCGGCGCATCATGCGACGTAACTCGTAAACGGAAACGGGGGAACGGGGGCTGGCCCGAATACGGAATTGCCTTGAGAGAAACGGGGAAACGGGGAAGCGACCCGGTAACCCAGCGGAACGATGTACGCCGCGGCGGGCGGTGCGAGCATCGCCAACCGGAGGAAGCAGAAGCGGTTGCAGCTCAATAAACAGGCGCCAATCAACGTCGTTCCGCCAAGACTGAAGGCCGGCGTAGCCCCCGGCGCGCGGCATCATCAGCAGCACCACCAGCACCAGCATCAGCACCAGCACCAGCACCACCACCAGTACCAGTACCATCAGCACCACCATCACCACCATCATCATCCGACCAAGCTCGCCGCCCGTCCGCACCAAGTCGCGTCCGCGCCGCAAGTCTCGCGAGCGCAGCAGCAACACCAGGCGCCGACGTCGACCTCGTCGTCGTCCGCCGCGTTTCATCCGGGCATCGATGATCGGCGCCGCCACACCGATCACGATCACCACCACCACAAGTCCCAGCAGGTCGCCCCGGTCTCGCCGATCCAGTTCCCGATCTCGCCGCCCCCGCTTTCCCTCGAATCCTCGGCGTCCGCCACCACCTTTCCGGCCAACAAGTCCAGCAACTTTCCCTTCCCGCCGCCCTCGATCCTCGACCTCCGAGTCTCGCCTCCTACTTCGGAGCTACAGGTGGGTAACATCATCGGGCACTCTCTCTCTTTCTCTTCATAACCAGCCTCCTCACGCTGTTTCTTAGCCGCTCTTTCTTTCTTTATATCTCACCCAAGTCACCGCGTCACGATCTTTCACCTTCACTCATCACGCACACTTATCACACGCCCAGGAATCATGCAAAGCGAAATAAATTCGTTTTCCGCAATGCGCGCATTCGGCAGAGGAAACTGACCGGTTTTCCTGGTTCGATTCTGTTACAAGCGATAAAAAAATTATATTTTAGAAGTGGTTACTACTAAACGGACTACGTCCGTTTGTATTATTTTTCCAGTATATTTCCTCTTTTTTAAGTTCTCTAGTCAATGGACTCCGCTATTATAAAAATGGATGTAATAATAAAAATTATTTTTAGAATAGTTTTCTTTATTGAAAAGAATTTCGATAGTGGAGAACTTAACTTCTTCTTCACTTTGATTTTGGCATCTGGATCTGGCTCGTTGATCGAGAATTCAACTACGTTATACGAAATTATCTCTGCCGAGTGTGGTCGTGACGAGTTAGACTAACGAGGATTACGAGCTCACTTCTCTATCGCTTTAGCGCGACTCACCCTCACTCAAAGCGTATACGCCCCTTCTGATTGCACTACATCTCTTTTGCCGGCACCACGTACAACGTTATATAGCAAATAGCATCGATCGGCTGTCTGGTGGCGCATAACACGCGATAAACTTGTCGAGCAGCGTAAGAGAGGCGACAGATTCTCCGATGCCCGAATATCTCCTGGGCCTTTCAGGTCGGCTAAAAGCTCGCAATGTAATTTCAGTATAGCGTGAAACATGCCTCCTACGATTATCATCGACGAGAACGAGCGACGATCGATGGCGGGTAGCGCGCTGTTAGATCGTTACGATATCGATCGCGATCAATGATGGAACTTTGAGGTGGACTCGAGAGACTGGTTTCTTCGCTCATCGTGTTGGGGGAAAGGATAAGAAAGAGAGAGAGAGAGAGAGAGAGAGAGAGAGAAAGAGGAGGAAAAAGAAGGCATTTTATGTGTCGCGTGGAAATTATATTTCAGATAAGAGATGCCAGTTATTGTTACGGGAGCAGCGGCGAGGACGACGACGAAGATGATAGCAGTAATGCTCTACGGCAGAGAGGCGAGGTCAGCGCGGCGGTCAACACCGTGCTCTACGTCGGTTTGGGGACCACTGCGCTCGGTTTAGTTATCTCGTTCGTCGGTACCGGAGAGAAAGGCTTCTTGAGCCCGCAGTTGAGACTAGTCGGTCCATCGTTACTGTGTGCTGGTCTGCTATGCTGCCTGTTCCGCGTGCTGCTATGCCTCTGCTTGTGCCACTGCGGCCAGTGTCGCTGGCAATTCTGTCACGTTGCCTCGCACAAGGAAAAGGCGAGGAAAGCGGACGCGCGACCGGGACCGGGGACATTATCGACCGCCTCCCTGTTGCCGCCGCCAACGCAACAACAGCAGGAACGAGAACGACAACGTGAACCTGAACGTGAACGTGAGCGTGAACGGGAACGGGAGCGAAACCGGGACCGGGAGCGGGAACGAGAACGGGAACGACCGGTCGCGCCGACGAGCCGCTCCGTGTCGCCGGCGACGAAAGGACACGAGCTCCTGCTCTCACCTGCCCAATTACCGGAGTGAAAAACATGATCGTGTCACAAACATTTTCTACAAATGAATTCTATATATACGCCGATTTACTGCCGGTTCACGCCCGATTATTCGACCCTAGTTTCCGTTGCGGCCTGAACCGCGGGTTCTCGCAGCCTAAGAAGTAGTCTTACATGCGTCTTTAGAGCTTAAACAATAGAAGAATAAAGGGATCGGCTACGTTTTTCTATCCTTGTTGTATTCGAAAAAGTAAAGGGAATCATCATCACCATCACCATGTTAACTAGGTCTCATTCGCGAAGTTTTCTGATTTATTTACGCTCACGCTTACAAGTTGGCTTTTTTACAAAGATTAATTTTATCAACGCCATCGTCATCTCGACCAAATCACGTAATGATCATAATCTTAATGTTAAAACTTAAGATACTTTACTATGCGTATTGCTAGGCGAAAATCGTTCTTCTTTTCCACGTGATCGGATCTGTACGCGATCATCTTCATGCCCATGTTTCACAGATTACACAATCTGTCTCAGAACAAATACGATAAATACTTATATCAATATCACTTTAACTCCCAATGATCAGGAAAGTTGAAACTGCATCTGCTCATTGGCATAACTGTAGATAACAGGCGATTCGGAAGTGGTTACACTGGATGCCGTTGCAGTAATAGCAAATAACTGATCCTCATACATGCTCTGTGGTTCAGTTTTTCCATTGCCAGTGGCCGTTCCGGCATTGGGTGGGTTGTCGCCCTTTGTCGCCTCACGATATTTCTGCAGATACACTTTCAGGGGCTCGACATAATTGTCGAAGCCGAGCGTAGTCATGGCGAACAAAATGTCCTCACCATTGATAGTTTTACGTTTCTCCATATGACATCTGTCGCTCGCTTCTGATGTGATAAATGAAATGAACTCTGACACGCACTCTTGAACACACTCACGCGCATCCTTGGCTATCTTTCCAGCCTCTGGAATAGCTCTCTTCATAATTTTGGCAACGTTCGCTATCGGCAAGAAGCGATCCTGCTCACGAAGCGGCCCACCGCCAGTGGAAACCCCAGGGCTCTGTAGAGGATCTCCCGCGCCGTGATTGGAGTCGTCTGTGTTCTCGGGATCGTCTGTTCGAAGAAGCACTCGTTAAGGTTTATACAGTTTTACAGTCTTATTACTCAAGATTTTATTTGTAATCCGATCCGCGACGATTTACCAAGAGAATTACTATGTAAATATATTACCTAAATATAAACATCAATCTTTTCATAAAAACATACAGTTGATATATTTCTACATTTTTATGTCTCAATAACAAGCATTCAAAATTGCAGACATGTTTGTCTGAAAAAGATTCAATACATTTTGTTTTTGGTATTCCAAAATGATTGAAAACAGTTTATAGAAAATAGAAAATTAAAAACAATAGACGTAACATGGTGCACCAAAGGCACTGAAATGTAAAAGCTTGTAGAAGTTTGTAAAGCTCCTGGAAGCTCCTAGAAACTGCATGCTAAATGTTTCTTGGAAAAATCTGATCTAATCTGACATAAACGAATTAAAAATACAGACTGAGAATACAGTTCAGAGGAACTTGCATCTTGGCTGCTATATCACTTCTGATAATTAAGATTCTCAAAGGAACGCTAACCTACCTTCCATGTCATCCGACTGGACGCCGATGTAGGATGCAGCGACGGTGTTACCGCTCAGGAATGTCGATCCTAGAGGACCGTCGTCACCACTTTCTCCACTGTTTTCCATCCTTGATATAATTCGCGCGTGAAGTAAATTGATCAGATTGCACTCCTTTAACCTTTCCAAACTTTGTTTTTACGCCGCTGTAAGAACCTCGATTGCGTATAAGTTGATCAACGTTAACGCGTCGTAGATGGCCTACTATGCACCGCAATATGGAGAGAAATGATCACGAACGAATCACGTCATCGTCATACGTATCCATGGGTCTGTTCTTTTTAGCTGAACTGACTGCACTAGTTCAGAGTTTATTTTTCTTCTTCCAGTGTAAGAAAGAAAGATAAACTGTGAACTAGTACAAAATGAAGAGCATAAATAAGATTTTTTTATGAGGAGCATAAATGATGATTATTTCCGGAAAGGAGAAAGTCTGCTAGGAATTTTTCTTTTATAAAATTTTCTGATTGATGGCCCGCTAAAAAAATTGCTAAACACCGGCGAATATGATTGGAGGTGTGCTATTCTAAAGTATCCACGATGAAATCGATCTGAAATTTTGGACGATTTTTCACATCGTGGATATAAAGCTGGATGCACAATGAAAAATATAGGCAACAGGAAGAGGAAACAGGCAACAGATTTTGTCCAATCAGAAATAGCTCCGATATTCTGCACAGTTTCTGATTGGTCGAAATCTATTGTCTGTTGCTATTCCTTGTTCTTGTTTTCAGTACTTTTTTATTGTGTCTCAGGCTTAAAGCTTTAACAATCCCTTATAAGCTCTGGCTCTTTTCTTGAAACATATCGTATACTAAAATTCTATAGTTTATGTGACATATATTATAGGATTTTCGTATGCGATATGTTTCAAGAATAAGGCCCTCGGTCTACAATAGGCGATTTAAGCCTTAAGCCATAAGAAATGAACGAATCATAATCAAAAAATAGGAGAATAATCGACTATGATTGGGCAATTTCTTATGACTTAAATCACCTATTGTAGACCGGGACTAATCGAAGGCTCATATCCATTAACATTGGCTATTGCTTAGGGTTCTCCCACATTGAACACGACGAGTGATGAGCGATGAGCGATATCCAATGAGAGCTTTGCTTTTTTAAATGTTCAGACGCTTTTTTTAAACGTTCATTGGATATCGTTCATCGCTCGTCACGTTCAGTGTAGGAGAGAGAGCCCTTAGAAATTTTTCAGTGGGTCATCAATTAGACGATCTAATATTTAATTGACCAATTAGCAACGTTAACTATTAAAGAAAGAGGCTCTTAGACACTACAGATGTATAGGATATCATAATTCGCGGATTATTTCCTGTAAAGAAATAGAGTGGATTGAACTTAGTAAAAAAAAACTGTTTTATTTTACAATTTTTGTAATAATTAATGAGAAAGTAATAAAGATCCACAAATAAATATGCATCTATGCGAAAAAATAACTTACCTTCATTAATAATTGTGAAAATTGCAAAATAATAGAGCATTTTTTTAACTTATTTAATCCGTTTTACTTATTCATGAAATATTCCATAAATTTACAAAACATCTTGTTTTCGCGTGTTACATTGGAATAATCGAAAACTATGTCCGAAATAAAAAAAAACTTTCTTTTAAAAGTTAAACATCGAGAAATAACAGATTTATCAGAAATATTTTTTTAAATTTTATTTATTTTTCAATGAAAATAAGCTTTCATTGTATAACAAAACATCAATGCATTGTTATTTTATTCAAATGGTTTTTGATCTTGCTGATCTCCAATGATTAAGAATTAGAAATGAGCAAATAGCACTTTTCACAGTTCCTTCCCTGCATCGTTTGTCTCCCCCTCGAATTGCGTTTTATAAAAATCATTCGCAATGTCGATGATTGACTTCATCTGCATAGTCGTGATTTTTATTATACTTAGCAAACAATCTGTAGTTTGCCTATGATAATTCTTCAACGGTAAACCCGATAATGTTTGCGCATTTTGCAAAAATGTGTCCGTTTGTTGCTCGTAACGCCACGAAAGTATCACTAACGCTACAGTAAGTAATGAGCTAATCACGAAGAACCATACAATCACGCATGTGAGTGATCGGCACAGCCTAGTGCCTGAGTCGCCAATCAGCATGAAATAATATTAAATAAGATTAATATATATGATTAAGCAAGATATTAGGTAAATGAAGAGAATAAAGATCATCAGAACAGATATTAATTACCTGTGGACCTACATGATTTATGTGTGGACATGCTATTAGATGGTGATCCCATTAATCTTGTGCTATCACTGTCATCCTGTGAACATCCTTTGTTTTGTGTTGGAGAATCAATTTTATTCCCGTTCGCCTTGCTCTCCCTTTCCATGTTTCTTCGCTTTTTCTTTTTGCCTTCTTTTTTTGTAACTGTTATCTCTTTGTCTGTATCACCTAAAATTATCATAGTATGTATACCACTGTATGTATTATAATACTGTATGTACTACTGTATAACAAATTATGTCCACACCTGTGACATTATTCAATCTGCGTAATCTTTCCTCTTCAATAACAAGTTTAACATTGGACAGATAAGTAACAATATTACGAGCACAAGCCTGACACTCGCGCATATTGCTGCATGGTCCCGCAACACTGGCTACAGCCTCGGTTAAGGGATTCTCTTTCAAATCCAACCACTTGAGATTCTTTAATTCACTCAGGCTCAAAGGTAATCTGCTAATCTAAATTATCATGCTATTATTAATAGAGTGGTCTGTTTTTATAAAGACTATCTTGAATAATGTCTCAAGATGCTAATATTGTTTTAAGATTGATTTATAACATTAAAAGTATCTACTTAAGATTATTTTAAATATAATAATATAAATATGGAAAGATTATATAAAGAAAAAACTACCTTATTAGCATATAAATCCAAATGTTTCAACTGTGTCATCTCACCAAAATTTTCAGGAAGTTCAATCAACATGTTTCTACTGAGATCCAATTTTACAATTTGTTTCAGGGTAACAAAAGTGGCCTGCAAAAGATTTATGTTCATAATAACTCAAATATATAAATTACATAAAAATCTTTGCCTGATTACAAAATCTAGAATAACATACCGGCAACGAAGTCAGAAGGTTGGTTGATAAATTTACATTCGTCGCTTTTTTGAGAGATGCCTGAAACATATTGCATAACTTGTAAAAGATTTACTCATATCCTGTGAAAATCTTAGATTATTCCACATAATATAATTTCAATTTCAATCAAATAATTTCAAAACGAAAAGATAAGAGACTCACGATTTCTCGCACAGGCACCTCCTCCAGGTCACACAGACTGAGGTCCAGGGTGTCCTCCTTCAACTTATCTTTCACATCTTTCAATTTCAGTTTAACAGTCATGTTTGCTGTGTTCCAGAAGAAGAAGAACGTTGAACTGGGAACATGCGAGTCGTGCACTTCACGGCGTCGTCGGATCACGATTGTCGACCCTCGCGGTTCATCCTTACGCACATGCTCCGATTACACTGTGTACACGTAAGCAGGTAGTACACGCATCCGGGTACACGCTTCATGTATATACAACACATACGAAACATCACCAAGAAACTTGCGCGCGAGGCTATGAACAGGAATCATCTAGTGAGTTTTCTCCGCGATTGCACGTTTGACGATTTCCGACAGGGATAAACGTGACGTGTCGACGAGAGAGAAGGAAAGAAAAAGAGAAGGGGAGAAAAGAGAGAATATCCTCTCTTCTTGTCAATTCTCGCGAGTTTTCTGCCAACATCCTCGCTTGGCCACGGACCCTCGCGACCTTCAAATTTGTTTTATTTGGCTCGAAAATTAAATCTATAACGATTTTCCGGATCTTCCCCTTTGCTTTAAGAAATTGTCTGTCTGCGATTGGAAATGCACCGTGTGTGTCAGTGCGTTTCGCGATCGGATGTCAAAATTGTGTACCAGATGAGAATATTGTATTGATTTTACGCTCGTCACGTGGTGATAAATCTCGTAGGGTGCGAGAAAGTGAAAGATATTCAAGATTTACGAATCTTGAAATCGTAAGCATCTTCGTATAATCACGAGAAACACTCGTAAACCTACCTTTAAAAAAAGTACATTATATGTATGTATATATATATATATATATATATAGATATATATCGAAATGTCTACGCGTTATATGAAAAAAGTTTATGGTGACGACGTAATTCTCGCAAAAGGCGACGATGATGCGAGTGACACAGAAGTCTCGGTGAGGAGCAACGCCAAGTCCAAATCTTTTAACGTTTTTGATGTGGTATGTAGAACTATAAGCATTGTCATCATTTCATTCATTTCTGGATGGCAATGATATTAACGACCAGTTATGCCCACAGTTGAATCAGAACTCTGATAAGGATGAGGATACCAGTGACAAACAAGAAGATGAGGATTTGACTACAAACAATGTAGACTGCAATGACACGAAGCGTAAAAGAAAAAGAAAAAGCATAAGAGGTCAGAGAATGAAAAGGTAAAAGGTCAGCAAGAACACGAAACAGAATATAATAAAAATGTGGATGAGATTGAACAAAGCTTAAGGGAAGTGAACAAATTGCTTGGTGAACCACTGCCAGGTTGCAGTAATCAAATTTCAGAGGCACAATGGGTTGATAGGATAACTAAAGAAAATATATTGACTGTACAGCGAAAACATTTGAATCCGTATAACGAATTGAAAAGGATCTTTGGTAGTAAAACTATAGAAGCTGGACAGAGGTACAATTTATATCTATAATTATATATATTTACATGATATGTATGATCTGATCTTTATAGCTTAATTAATGTATACTTAAAATGAAATAGATATATGTTCAGAATTGGATGAAAACAAGATAAAATTTTAGTGTAATCTAGTGCAGCTTTAAATAAATAAAGAACAGCTTTAATATATCACAATTTATTTTTTTATAAATTCTTTTTGAAAGGAAAGTAGAAAGAATACTTTGTTCTTGCAGCAAGAAAAATAAAGGTCGTCCTGGAAATTTGAAGAAGACATGGCTGATTTGTCCACAAGATACTACTTGGGTACCAACTAATAAATCTGGACTGTCGATGTCTCTAGATGACTCTATAAAAACTACAGGGAATGTACAATATTTTGTATATGAACATAGCGCTTCGTACAAGGAGATTCAACATAAATTCTTGCAAGCTGTTGAAAGTTTGAATCCAGAAAATATAATTGTAAGTGAACATGTGATAGTACTAGATAATGAGACATGTTTTACAATTCTATTAGGATGATATCTTTAAAGATTTTATCATAATGCAAGTTTATATACTATAGAAAAGTAATAAAAGTATTTTTTATATCTATTTCTATTTTATAAATATTAATAAATATTAATACAAATTATATATTTCAGAATATAGTAAATGCTCATTCGTTCCATATAGACTCGCTCCTGCAAGTATCCGAAATGTGTAAGATAAATGACGATTTAGCGTATGCAGCGGAGTTCATCAAACGGGCCCTGTATTGCTTAGAATGTGCGTTTCATCCATTCTTCAATATAACAACGGCGCAGTGTAGATTAGACTACAGAAAACAACAGAATCGTGCATTTTTTATAACGCTTTTTAAACATCTTGGATTTATAGGCGGACGAGCTTGTTACAGGTAAACATTGTAAACTGAGGAAAATATCGGGACAAAAAATGAGAATATAAATTAATCTAAACAAAAATTTTATAGAACGAGTTTGGAATTTTGCAAATTACTTCTATCATTGGATCCTGAAAATGATCCACTAGCTGTAGTCTTATCCATTGATTTTTATGCCTTAAAAGCCAAAGAATATGAATGGTTTATAAAGTTTTGTAATCTATGGGAAGACTCTAGAAATCTAACCCAATTACCAAATATAGCATATAGTTTATCCTTGGCTCACTTTCGCCTGGGAAACAAAACTAATGCAGATATGTTACTGCAAAACGCTCTTATCATGTTTCCAAGTGTATTGATGCTTCTGATTGATAAATGTAGCATACAAACAGATGCAAAGGTATGACTTGGAAAAAAGATTTGTTTTGAAATTATATCTTCTGACGATCAATGTTTTAAATTGTGATTTATATATTTAAATGTTTTTTTAGGTAATACATCATGATTTTTTCAACTCTAAAGCACAAGGTAGCACATCACCAGCTTTAGAGAAACTGCAAAAATTATATGTAATGCGTAGTTTTCATCTCTGGAAGGAGGCAGATATTTTACCATGGCTAGAAGAAAACGTTCATGCTGTATTAAATCGAGTCGAGTCTGATAAAGATGAATATGTCAAGTTCTGTCAAGTAAAGCGTAGCAAACGCTATCGGGGAAAGCTGCCAAGAAATATTTTGAGACATATTATACTATCAGACCTTCCAGAAGTTATAGTCAATGTCCAGGAGGTAATGTTTCATAGTATGATAAAATGAAACATGTTAATACAGATTTATTAAAGTTTGTATAATGCTTATTCCAGATTCAGGGTGAAGATCCAATGTTATCACACGATCCATTACCGCCAATAGACAGCATCGATATTTATAAAAGGCCTACAGCAAATGAAAGACCCGTTGAAAGTAGTTCAAATTTCTTCTCTCTCTTTTTCTCATCTCTTTTTACGGATATCAATGGCACAACTGCTGCTTTAAATGATTTGAATTTATTGTAAGTATATACACAAAAAATACGATTATCTCCAAGGGATAAAAAAAAATGTATAGAATGTAATATCATGATATATCATTTTATATATATATAAAATTTATTTTGTGTATGTATATATATATATATATATATATATATATATATATATACACAAAATAAATTTTGAATTTTATATTCACATATAAATCATAAATCATTAAATATCAGATGATATTAATTGTAAGTTTTCTTTATCTAGTGAGGACAATGATGACCATGCATAACAACTTTTTCTGTATGAAATCGTATAATACCAAAAGAAAAAATTTACACAAACATCTGTGCAATTTTAATTAATGCACATACACCGTTTTAAATAGTACATATAAGACTGTAAGCATTAAGGCTGCTAAATACTGCTCATTGCAATCATATTGAATCATGATATCATAAGCGAGAAAAAACACATTGAGATTTCTTATGTGTTATTTGCAAATAAAGAAATTTGGATAAAACACTTCAAATCTGTTTAAGAGACTAAAAGTGGATAGAAAGGGGTAAGTGACAGGAATTCTGTTGCAGTTTCTTATTATGACAAAAGATAATAGACATGAAAAATGACATATTGACGATAAAGTGATCTTGCATTTTGTTATTATATGCTTAATTACATAAGTTGATTTGCCTCTTTATTAAATCCATAAAAACGGAAGCTATGTTATAGAATTTTATAGAGCAAATTATTTTATAAGAGCAAATTTTTCATTCCTTTTAACAGCTATTAAATCATGTTTTCCTGCTTGAAGAGGCTTTATTTCATATTTACGGTTATTACGGTTATTGATTGTCTGAAAGAGAAAGGAGAATTTCCATTTTCATAAGTGTTTTAAAACGATCTCAAGCATTGTTTATCCAAATATCTTTTTATTTGCAAATGACATGCAAGAAATCTCAATATGTCTTTTCTCGTTTATGATGTAACGATTCAATGTGACCGATGATGTCGAATCAAAAGCCTTAATAATAGTCCAATGAGATGATTCTAAAATTATTTGATTTCGTGTATAAAAAAATGATGTATAAAATTGCAATTTTCTTAGAATTTTTTTGTTCAATAGAAAATTCATTCTGAATACAGTATGTAGTGATTGCATTATTATGCATCACTACATTAAACGACAAATAATTATTGTTAACATCATTATAAATCTGTTATTATATATGCATTTTTTAAAGACTTGTAAATATGATAAATATATCTATATCGCAGCAGATAAAATACATAGAATAAATTCTATGCCTCATATACACTGTATACATGTATATGTATACAGTGCCATACATTGTGAACTATAATCGATTAAATGCCAAGAACAGGAATAAACGTACATTAAGTTTCATCTAATCATAGAGAATTATATACTCAAAAATGCCGACATGATTCTGTAAAATACACAAAAAAGAATTAAGTGTATAAACAAGTCGGAATCTTTGAATTATTTTTAATTGCATTTAGCACCATGTTAGAAAAAATGAAATAGACTATCTGAATCCTTACATTTATAAATGACAATACTCGTTTAGAAATGATTTCGATTGGCGTGCTCATTCCATTTATTTTAAACCATACTATGAAATACGGGATTGTAACGACAAATACCAGGACCATATTCTTGATATGCCTTCTTTGTGTGACAAACCGTATAGAATTCTGGATCACTGGCCAGTAATGCACCACCATACCACACCGCGCAACGTTGCTTGTGATGTGATATCACACGAACGTCTATTGGTTTTGGCTAGAAAATATAAATAATTTTTAACAATTTTTAACAATTAAACATAAAAGTATTATTATCTCTTTTAAATTGCAGTTTATATACCGTAATATGACTTCCACTTAACGTTTCACTGAGCTTAAGTCGCGTATCAACAATCTTCTTGATATCACGTTGCAATCGCCTACCAAAGTCTTTGAACATGGTAGAGCCACCCGATAATACAATATTACTATATAATGGTCTCCTGACATCGATTGGGCAGTTTTGAATCACATCGTCAACAATTTCATTGAGCGGCGTTGTAAAATCAGGATTAGAAAACTAAATACAAATAGATATATAGAACATATAATTAACACATTAGCTACGTAAATTACTATAATTACTTGCATAAAAAACTTACTTCGGGATGGAAAAATATTTCCGGTCCGAGAAACCTTTCATATCCAACGTCTACCACAAAAGATTGCTTAGTGATATTGTTCATGCCTTCGTATTTCTTAATTTTTGTAGGATCGCTATCATATTTGGCGAATTCTTTCGATATATCCGGACATATATAACAATATTTTTCCTTGATCGACTTAGCCGTTTCTAATGACTGCTCAGGTGGTATTCCAATCTCTCGTTCCCTCAGCAGACTTTGTATAAAATAGGTAATATCACGGCCAGCGATGGGAATGTGTTTTATACAACTTCCTATAACAAAACCTTCTGCCTGAAAAATGCAATAAACGTTAAACTTGAAAAAGTGAAATTTTAAAACAAAATATTTCGTTTCATATTTCTACACGTACTACTGGAATCACGTGAGTTACACCATCTCCACTATCAACAACAACGCCTGTTAAGGTGCGATCTTCTACGTTTTTAGCTGTCCACGAAGCTGCTAAAGCGAGAACAGCTTGCACAGCTATATAAAGTCCCGGCACATTAAATGATTCAAACATAATTTCAGCAGTGTATTCCCGATTCTCTGGAGTATTCAAAGGTGGTTCGGTTAATAGGAAATAATGATCCTCAGGTTCCGATCTGAGGTACTTGAAAATGCATTGCTGCAAAAACTTCTCCATCAAGTCCCAATCTTCCACTAATCCATGTCTCACCGGATACTACAAATTAAAAATCAAAATATATTCATTAAATATGAATCATCCAGAGAGAAGTAATCAGTTCTGCTTTGAAAGAATAGCTTGCAAATAAGTACTTTAACCGAATATCCGGTGGCTTCAAAAGCTTCATCCCCGATATAAGCGTCCAAGTCCTCCACACCTTTGGTAATTCTCCTGGCATTATTGTCGCCAACTTTAGCCGTCTCCTTAATAGCAATTGCTGATGGTATAGTCAATTGGGGTTCTTTATTGCCAGCGAAACCCAATTTCGTGTATCTACGAGATAATGCTTTGATTACCAGAGATTATAAGAGATAACTGCAAATGTTTTGAGATAGCGCGTGGGCGGTGAATTTTTATCCACGTCAATATGACCAAGCCATAGAACAAATACCATAGAACAAAAGAGATTTTCTATCATAACGATGCGTCACGAGATACTCGTGAACTGGGAGGAGAGGGGAGCGAAGAGATGCGATTTGCAGTTTATAAAAAATTTGACTGAGGCGTTTGCCATCGATGACAGATCGAATGATCTAACCTAAAATCGACTCCACCCACTCCTAAAAAACTATTTAATTTTGTATCATTCTGCAATTGTCCTTACCCAGTGCCTACATCGATGACACACGCCGGGAGTCGTCCAAGCATGATTCCGGCACCAACAATCGCTTTTCCCGGTGCAAAACACACCCACGCCGATGACGATCACAGCTAAACACACATTAAATCGCCGCGAAACGATACCACACCTCTTGACTTAACGAAGTACGCTAGCGACACCCGGTACATGATCTCGGCGCGAATCTTTATGTTTAAGGCCGGTATTCATAGTCGAATCTCAAATCAGCACTTAGCCTGGATCCTCATGCGGACACTAGCGCTTTGACACAGATGCTGATTGGTGAAAAATGAATAGTGGGGATAAAATGGAGAATGAATCTTTACAATAATGGATTCGGCAGAATGGCTGAGTATTGAAAATAGCGGAACGTCCGCAATTGGTCTGATTTTCGATACGCTCCATGAGACAGCACTCTTTATTGCTTAAGTTTTTTTATGTGCCACGATCCTAAGTTTTGGGATCACTTTCAGGCTCGGTAAATAGAGTTAGCAATCTAGTGTATAATATAAATGTCTATAGTCTATGGTATAAATGTTTCGGAACTCTTCTTGGTTAGTTACATGGCAGCCAACATCTAGAAAAAAAAAATAAGCTAAACTATCATCGTTCGGAATATACCCAGTGGCTTGACTAGCCACAGTAAGATTCTTCTATTTGATTGGTTTATTTAGATCCATGAGGAATTAAGGATAAAAGCTAATCATATCAAAGATTTTTACAATAGTCCAAAGTTGCTTTCTCTGTTGAACGTAGCCATTGCCGAGAAGATTTAAGCGGCGTCTACAATGAGACTTTAAGGTCCGATTATTCCAACATTATTTTAGCTTTAAGCGAGACTTAAATACGTGTTTGTCTTTGTTTATTTAAAAAGAAAGATAAATACAGATACATGTTAAGTCTCACTTAAAATAATGTTGATGCAACCGGGCCTTAGACGTACACTTAAGAAATTGACCAATCATAATTGATTTATAAAAGAATAATCGATTGTGGTTGGCCAATTTCTTAAGTCTTACGTCTTAAAATCTCATTGTAGATACCGCTTTAAATGCTCACACACGTGCACCCGTCTGCACTGTGTTGTTTGTACATGCGCGAAGGGTCAAGCCTCGAGGAACTGTCAAGAGTGAATGTCACAAACGGTAGACGATAGTGCAGTTAGTATTATTATATGAAATTATTATTAAATAACTCACTACGTATGTTTATAAATTTGATTCTTATATAATTCTGATATTTTTTCTTTTCTTTTTTTTATAAAGATCTTTCTAATTTAATAGATATAGCGATACAGAGTATTGATCTCCATGAGGAACTGCTCGTTAAGAAGATTGTCTAATTGTCTCGATGAAATGGACTGAGTCCCGGATGACCGACGACTTTTACCTCTCGCCCTTTAGGAAGATTCACTGCTCGGAGCATGCATTGAATAATATTTTATTGTGGAGCACTGATCCCAATCACATTTGAGAGCGTGAACATCATGCGAAGGATGCCTACTGATATTTTTCTAGGAAACAGTGGTACCCTTCATCGATCTTTGATGTTTATATTGAAGCTCGGCTGGCAGTCCAGATTCCGTTTGCCTGTGCTTCTCGTCATTGTCTTCGTCGCCATGGATTACAGACTGCAATTAGAGATTGAATTTGGAGACAACGCGGACCAACATGATGATCTGTGATTGAAATGGATGAGATTGGATAGATATAATATTGTTTATTTATTTAATGTATATACATGTTGTTGTCTATCCAATATATACATGTAGTGAATGCATGGGATGTTCAAGCAAAATAGAAACGCCGACTGTCTTTGATTAGAATGTTTGGAATGTTAACTATTGATTGATAGTAATTATTATACAGCTTCAAAAATGTGATTTTAATCATAATTTTGTGCTCAGTACTTGAAGATTATTAATGTTTGGACTTGTCAGGTTGACAGAAGCATTTGACATATGTAATTAATTTTAGAATTTTATAATACATTTATCTCATATCTTATGATATTCTATTTTATAACGTATGTGTCTTATAACATATTTATATTATGAATTGTATATTATTCAAATTAAGCCAAATTAAGATAAGCATAATTTAATATAATTTTACGACAGTTTATAATAGAAAATAGAAATGAGAAGGTTGACTTAAAATCTCTAAGAAACAAAGATGAGATTTTTTAAATTTGTTAAGAAGGCAAGTGCAACAAATAGTGGAGTTAATGAAAATTTATGTATATAAAATTTATAGGAGACTGTTTATAGCTATTTATAAATTTCCTGATTATAATGCAAAGATAAGGAATACAGCAGAAGTTTATTTATTGCATTTAAAATTATAAAATATAAATTTTGTCATAAATATGATATAAATATAAAATATCTCTATAAAAATTGAATATAAAAAGGAGATGCAAATAAATGAATTATTTTATAATTAATTCTAATATGCTATAAATTCATTGTATATTATATAAATGTTATAAAATGAATAAATAAATAAGAGACCTTTTATTTTTAGATATAATGATATATCTTCTATTTTCATTCTATTTATTTCCCTTTTAAATACAACATTTTTTATTTTTTTGAACAATTAAATAGTAATTTATAAGCTGAAAAATTTTTTGTTATAAAGATCTAAACTCATTTTTGTGATTATTTTTTTATGTCTAATTTTTAAATGATAATTTTTTAAGTTTAAAAATATATCTTTAATTAAAAAAGAATGTTCATTAGTATTAGTATTTACAAATTTCATTAAATATTCTCTTTGAAAAGTGACGATTCAAAAAAAAATGAGAGATTGTGAACAATTGGACTGTATATTAGTGATTACTTCAGTTATATTTATTATTTTATAATAGAAATTTTATTTACAGAAATTGAACTGTTCACTCGAACACGGCATACAAAAATTTTGGATATAACCATTTGTCACTTTTAATTTTGAAAATTATATTTTTTTATTATACCTTTTTTTAGAAATTGTCTATTTGATACAAATATATTTGACAAGTTTTTTCTAATATTTGAGAGTACGTAAGATTAACTTAATCGAGAAAAACAAATCGAATATAGATCTATCATAAATTAGTAATGAATTAGAATGCAAAGATTATTTACTCTAGAAATATTCTAGGATTTTAAAAGATGTATTCTTTAATTACAAGTTATCGTGCACAAAGTAGATAAATAACGCTTCTTCAATTCTATCGAAATAGAAGCGCAGTTGAGAATAGAATCGAATCTCTCGCGGATATAAACGTGGGAAGCCACGATAATCCAAAGTGTCCCGTAGAGAACACTTTTTCTGTCAGGACACGTCCGTCTTATGAAGAAAAAGTAGTACCACGTGCTTCGACATTTATCGATTCGCTTCGGGACTATTGCGCTTTTTCTTTATTGAAGAAGAGGCAATTGACGATAAATTTTGCTGATGTTTAGTTTAGTCGATGCGAATTCAACGGTGGGGACTCGTCTTATATAGACAGCGTGCAAATGAAGTTTATCGGTGTTTCTTTAAATAGCCGTCCTGATGGAAACTAGAGTTTCAAAGTTTCCCAGTGTCCTCGGGATCTTTCTTCTGTTCGCCTGCTTCTTCTCGCGGACTGAAGCGGCATTCGATCCTGAAAGTTTCCGTGAGTGAATTAATGACAGCAAATAAGATAATAAATACGTGAACACGTGTCGAAGAGAATGATTTTAAATAAATTTAAAAACTATTTTTTTTTTTATTGAATTGGAAATATATCATTTCGAGAAGATCAAGAAATATGTTTCGCATGCTTCTTGTCTCGAATTTAGTTTTCTCGTTGTTTTCGAGCACAATTGGAAGAATCTATTTTGAAGCATATCAAATAACTGTAAGATGATAAAATATCGATCACACATTTTAGAGCAAAAATTAGTTGCCTTGCAAAAGATTCTTGACTACATTAACAACAGACCAAACCAGATGAATATTGACGCTACCTTCGGTGTTACTTTAAGTGAAGGTAAAGGAGCTATAATTACTAACTAAAATCACTATACAATAAAATGTTGATAAATAATCGTATATTTTTTGTAGAAAGTAACAAGTTAAAATATAAAGCTATAATTAAAAAATTTCAATTTTATGAAATATTTAAGAAATATATATATATATATATATATATATATATATATATATATATAATAATTGTAAAAAATTTAATGATCAACTTTTCTTCATTAAAATAGCTAATTTGGTGGCGGCACTCCTGCATGAAAATGTACAATATTTAGAAGATAAATTCTTTATCGCTCTCAAAGAAGTAGTTGTACTATCTGATTTGACGCGAAGGACTTTGATGAAAACTCTTGCTTTCAAGAATGAAATTAAATCTTTAAGTAAGTACGATCTTTACGTACGATAGATATATGCAAGAAACAAATAATAAAGATTTGTTTCTTTTTGTTGCATTTTATTTCCTTTGTCGTGTATCTTTTGTATTTAAAATGACATAAATGCGAAATATTCCTAAAAAAAATAAAAAATAAAAATAAATATAAGAAAAGGTGAGAAAATTTTTCTAAAAGGAAACAAGAAACAAATTTAAAATAATAAAAAATATATCTATATGCAACTGCATTAAAAAAAGTAGAAATTTTATGATTGAAATTTTTATACATTCTTAAACTTAAAAATTTTAAATAAATAAATTGATAATTAAAAAATTGGAATTAAGATAATAAAAATAATAAAAAAATCGCGTCTTTTTCATTATTTAAAAATATATTGTTAGAAAATTTTTCTAGTTATTGATTAATAACTACTGTATTTTATGTATCGGTCAAGTTTTGCGAAATATGAAGTTTTGCAGTACAATCGACTATAAATAATCCCAATCTGTGGATAAAACCTATATCATGGACAAAGATCTTGCCAAAATCAAAACTGAGTCCGAATGAGTCGTTAAGTTACTGGGACACCATGCTATCAGTGTATCATGGGACGCCTAATGGAATAGAAAGCGATTATTGTTTGGTCGAAATTATGCGTAGCCATTTAAATGGGGAATGTCAAATTCCTGAAACTTGTATCGCAACATTGATAAGAGAAGATGATACTACTGGATATCCTCTCACGCATAGACTTATCATCGTCCAACTCGCTAAAGCGGTGAGTAAGACGTTAGAAATATTTTTAATTTTTATATCGCAAATTTGTTTCATTATACGAGTACATTACACTTACGAAGAAACACATACAAATCTTTCTTGTGCATTTTTATATTTATGCTTCTCGTACATATTTAATTAATAAATGAAATCGGCTTTAGTTGAGATGCAAAGAAGTTGAAACACTGTCGCTATCTTCCTTGATACCTACATATTGTGCCAGGATCTTTCAGGATTTCATCAATCTTGAAAAATGGGACTTTCCAAATATTGGAAAGGATCTCATGATGGAACAAAGTGCGTATAATAAAAATACTTTATGTATTAATTTTTAATTACAGCTTACTTTGACTGAAAATTGACCATATGTATACATGTTATAATTTTCTTTTTAATTGACAACTAGGCTTACAACTTCTGCAATTAAAAAATTACATAAAAAGATATAAAGATTTGAAAATATATGTATATTTATAATCATTAATGTATCCAAAGAAGAAGGAAGGGTTCAAATTCCCTTTGAAATTACCTATATTTTTTCATAAAAAGTAAATGTTATAATTTGCATAATCCAATAGTTTTTCCATTCAAAATCGGGGAAGAAATATTTTTCTAAAATTTTTCCAAAAAAATAATTTATTAACATAAAAAATCATGTTATGATAAT